TTGCTACCCCTTACTAACATGGCTGTGAGAAAAGAGACCTAAAATATTAACTATAAGGATAGGGAATGAATAATTTAAATTAAAATTATTATTTTAATAATTTAAATAAAAATGAAACTGGAATACAGATTGCACAATGTAGAGGAAATAAATACAGCTTCATCAGTAATAACTGGGCTGTCATTCGAAGAGAAATGCAACATCCTTGATCTGTATGCATTTGTACAGATCTACTCTAGTGTCAGGCCCACGTTCCTACCTGAAAGACAAAAAGAGAAAAATGGCAGCAGCAGGGGGTGGGGAGGTATATAAAAGATATATAGTATTTTTCATGACACTTGGAACAGAAAATTGAGCCACAGTACTCAAAGGAGAGTGGATATAAGAGGGTTACAATGCTTTAAATGCTTTTTCATGCTATAAGAGTGGATTATTTTTTTTTTTAGTTAAGTAGTTCCCACACTATGATCCAGAAAATAATAGTAAGTGGTCTAGAAATAATGTATGGAACTAACACTGTGTTTAAAATACTGTTTCCCTCCCAAAACCAGAAGAGATGTGGAAGGGAGGGGGAAAAAAAATTTTAAAAAAAGTAAGAGTCACAGTTTGACTGAGAAACTGTGTAAACCAGACACCAGATTGCACACACACAGACACACACACCCCCGCAAGACTAATTTGATTTTCTGAAAGTCTGGTTCTTTGGAAGCCTGTTACATTCCCTGCGCATTATGAAGAAGAATTTCTGCAACCCATCCCTGAATGTGAAAGAGCATGTTCATTTGCTACCCCTAATCGCATTGAATATTCAGCACCAACGCCATTAAGAAGCATTCATTTCCCAGGCTGCTCTAAACCCTAAGGCTGGAGCAGTTTCCTGTAGCCTACAAAAAAACAAACAAACAAACAAAAAAAAAACCAAAACCACAACCCACAAAACCAAAAAAAACACCATCCTTATGCTCCATTCCCTTAAGATAGTCCCAGGTTTCGTTTTACCTAGACGGGCTGTGCATGGGAACAGAATAGACTCTGGCTGTAGCCCAACTGCCTGAGGCAGCAGACTGCTGCGGGTGGCAACCAAACTATTTTACTTAAACCTACATCTTGGAAAGCCAGGCTGGCTGCTACTGCAGCTGTGCAAGGGGTCAGGATGAGCGGGGAAGTGTCTGTGTTGGCAGACAGAAGCAAACTCCACAGGCAGTTCTCCCCCAAAAAAAGAGGACCAGATCTCTCCCCAAGTCCATCCCTGGCCCATCTGCCCCAAATTGGTATAATTTAACCCTATTTATTCTGCTGAGAAACCAGTTTGCCCTTTAGCTCATTACAAATAAAGTGCAAGTCGTAAGGATAGCCTAATCTTCTATATTTTCCATCTCTTTGCTTTGTTAAAGTTTAGAGCTTAAAGAAAACTTGATTCAAAGAATGACTCTCAGCATGTTTAAGTGACAACCTCAGAGTAGAGATTCCATTTGAAAACATGTGAGCCTTTTATAAAGACAGCAAAGTAGTTCTTCAATAAATACTTTCAAGACAAATGTAGTCTGGGATACTTATCCTGTGAAAGCAATTTTTATTTGGAGTTATTGTAACAGCTGTTTTCCTCATGAAATAAAAAGCTCCAGTCAAACATCTCAAAGCAATTTCTTATCTCTGCTTTTAAGAACTGTGTTTATTTGCTACATGTGCTGTCAGATGAACCTAGCAAGATGCAGTTAGCAAGAACTGGGGTGTGCAACTGTGTATGTTGGGGTGGATTTTATTTTTTTTAAGGGTCATTTAATGGGAATTTTTTATATTGGCACTCATGTATTATGGTTTGGGTTTTTTTGAGAGAGAGAGAGAGAAATAGACTGCCAAAATGGTAAAAATTAACGTTTACTCTGCATAACTTAATAGCTTGGTAAAACTGGTTTTATGCATGCTTCCAGCAACAAATGCTGCATTAAGAAATATCTGTCCTTAGTAGAGATCAGGTGTTCATATATAGCAATATAAAAGAGTGGTAAAGTGAACTGTTAAAAATTCAATCCCTGCAATCATCAGCAACATACATCTCCTCTTTCCACATAAGGGAAAACTACAGCAATATGAAATACTATTACAGCAATTTCTAATTGTTTCTGTTTAAAGTTAGCATATGGGAATAGATAATTGTTAGCTAAATTAAAACCATTCCTAACGTATTTTAAAATGCTTTTATTTATTTTGGTGCTAATGGAGCTTATATTGGTAGTAACAGATGAGGTCATCCTTGCTCCCACTCAATTGAAGAGAATATTTGACATTAAAAGATAAGGAATAGAAATTTCTGGAAGGAATATATAGTTACGTCTCGAGAACTATGTTGAACTTCTAAAAAATCAGGAAAAAACCCCTGAAACAATAGCCTATCACGTGCTCTACTTTACCAATACAGAAAGTTATATGTTGATAATGGTTCTTTGAAAAAATACATATTACAGTGTTTGTCATGCTATTTTTATTGTTTCTGTTTTATCATTTAATAAAAAAAGAAAGCGCTATTATTACCAGTGAATGTGCAAAGCAGTATTTACCTTGTAAGACTGGTTGAGAAAGTGTAATTTCATCTACTTTTGTCTGATATTACAACGGACACCTGGCAATTACACAGAAAAAAACTACAGGAGAAGCCTGGTATATCTGTCAGACTCACAGAAATGGAAGTTATAGCCCAAATGACTGGATACTTATGATGCGTTCCAAAACACAACTAAACACTCTGACAGCTCTTGACCAGTTTCAGAATGTGCATAGTAAAAACATTTTAAGACATCTTTTTTTCTATGGACCTGACCAGAAGACTATGAATTCAAGAGAAACTTTTCCAGGAAATTCAGTGAGTTTTTGATGAGGCCCCCAGGTGATTTTGCTGTGTCAGTGCATTCAAGTCACACAGTATCAGATCTTACAATATGAGACAATTCAGAAAACTATGCATTCAGGAGCATGATAACTGAATCACTTGTTTAGGATAAAGTTATTGTCCGTTTTCTTGACAATCTTTGCTTTGTACCCTGAGCTATACTTGGGACAATCACACTTTTGTGCCTTCCAGTGTTTAGACAAATAAAAAACCCTAGAAAAATAATAAGAACATATAAATTCACAGAAGTTAAGAAACAAATGAAGATTGACAAAATCAGAGTATATAAAAATATATGGAACTATTACATGCTACCTATCTCAAATTTATTCTCTAGTTCTGGCCTTTCAAGGACAGAAGGATAACTAGCTCACTAATATGAATAGTGGGAAAAAAGTCATATTTAGTTATTCTCTGAAACCTGGAATGTGTTCTTCAATTTATAGGCAAAATAAAGCACAACGCAATTCCAGAAATTAAAAAAGTAGTAATTTAGCTAACTAGAAATTATATTGAAGCTTACTCCTAAGAACAAAACATGAAATTGTACTGAGCTCTTTTGAAAATCTGGGCACTGTTCATAATATCTGAGCATCATCTGGGTGGCATAAAAACTTTTTGATCAATTAAATTAAAACGAATTTGACATTAAGTAACATATGGGTATATGGTAATCTGCATTTTGATCAGCTGCAGAGTGATGGAAAGGTTAACAAGTAGGATTAATTCCAGACAGTACATCTGGGCAATATTTCTCAATCTTTAGTTTTAAGTCTAGAACTTGCACAGCTTTCATATGGCTCATTAGATGCACCCACAATAAAGTGCTCATTTCAAAAACTGCATCACAGTTCACAAGTAAGGGTCTTCAACACTAAATGATTAGAAAAAATTCATGTCATTCCACATAGTAACCAAATGATATTTAGATTATCTAAGAATCAACAGTGGAGAACACCAAGTACATTAAGGAAGCAGCCTATGAAGAATAATTCATGTAGAATGTAGGTGTATCTGCAGGTAAAATGAGAAGAACTCATGCGAATAATATAATGGAGTAAAGTTCAGCATAACGAGATCAAATTAATTTTTTCAGTGTGTTTTCAGAGCTATGTTTTCTACTTCCTGTAACATCTCATTGACTTCTTCAGCAGAAATGAACTATCACGCTGAATATTAAGCACAATTCAATGCTGAGCTGAAACTCTTTCAATTTGCCTCTAGTAAAAAAATGAGAGAGAAGTATTTAAAGCAGGTTGGAAGACCGCTGTCCTCTCCAGCCATAAGCAAGACTCAGTATAGGTGGACAAGTCACTACAAAAAGAGAGGAAGCTTTAGCAGGGATGAAGTTATAGAGTAACACAAGTGGCTTATTTTAACAGGCCTTTCCCTCTACAAAAACCATATGACTTTTCAGCTATCTTTTTTCGTATTTTTACGTGACATAAACAATCTTACCTTACGCTTCTAAGAAGTGTGATGGAGTAATGATTGCACAAAGCAACTGCATTTAGATGGCAGGCAATAAACAAAACTTCAAGCTGCAGATTCATAATGCAATCTCCCTTCAAATAAAACCTTCACTGAAATCACTCTAATTTTTCTTCTGAAAAATGCCAGCAAGATGTAATTAATTTGAACAATTTCACAGAACTTTCTTGAACGAATTATTATTTTGACACACCTCTTTGGAATGCTGATTTTTTTAATTTGCATAGCATTATATTTATTTTCATTTGTTTTGAGATTTTTATTTCAAGTTTAGTGTTAGTTTGACTTAAGAATGGAATCTCTTCCTCAGTAATTTTTGGTAACAGAATGACAGTTCAATTTAAAGCAACTGAAGTATTTTACTTAAAATAATTCCTAAACATTATGAACAGTATATTTTCAGTGATTTCTGTATTTTTCCATTAAGTTTATTCAACCAAATTGACCAGAAGGTTATTTCTTTCTCTTCCTACTGAATGACATAAGACTCCTTTGAAATGGCATAAGGAGAAAAAGTAACAAATTCTAATAATGGAGTGCATTGCACAAGGAAAAGATCTCTATAGCACATTGTTACACACTGCATCCTATCTCTCTGCTGTTTTGTACTTTCATTCCTTACCTCTTTGTTGGCTCTGTCTGCTTGAACTAATGTTCCATTTAGACATGGCTCTACATAGTGAAGTTCTTCATTATACTATAAAAAGAAATAAAAAGTATGATGAAAAATTTAATTAAAAGCTTTGAAAGATATAATTTCATTTAATAATTTAGAACTACAGTGAAACATACATATAAAGCAAGAACAAAAGGATTTGGTTGATTTTTAAAAACTGTCTGTAGTATTTATTTTCCTTTTACATAACTCTGTTTCAGAGGTTTATGCTTTTAAAAAGAAGCATTTCATTGAATGGATGCCAACACTCAGGTGGAGTTAATGGGTACTATAGGCACCAGCTGACATAAATATCCTTCAAGTTGAAATCTGGATAGTATCAAGAGGTCATGTTTGATAGATCAGAGTCACAACTCCCAATTCTTTGCTACATGTAAAAAAAGTCCTGACAAATATTTGAGGCACTGGCTAACATTTTGGAAGATTAATAGTGGAACAACTACACCAAAAAGTCTGTAAGCTTGAATCAATCCTAGACATGTCTGACGACAGTCAGAATTTCAGTCAAGCAGAGTAGCTTATTGTACACAAAGTCATGAAGCTGTGACAGATCTTTAGGGAATTATCTGCTTATCTTGCAAGGTCTGTTACATAGCCCAGTCATATTTTCAGAAGCATCTTAAGCATTATAAGAAATTAAGTCTTATTTGCAGTCAGTAGATCTTGGAGATTCATGGATGTTTAAGTGACTTGATGGAAAATTGATTAAGTCTTTTAAACCTTTCAACACAGGTCAAATTAATACAGAAGTACCTTCAAAAAGTTACATTAGCTGTATAGATAGAGTTTTAACTTAATTCCTCCTCTCATTAATTTAGTCTAATCTAGAAGTTATCACAGATCAAACTATAAGGCCTTTGCATTTAGGCTTTAAGCAGTTTCACTCTTTCATAGGCATCAGTTGAATCAGAACATCCATAGTAAACAACGAAAGATGACACATTAAATCAACTAAAAAATAATCAGGAAAAGCATTAATGTATAAGATTAATATATGCATTTACTCACTTCTTCCTCCACCTCAGTGGGAATAAAAAAAGCCAGCCTTCCATGACTCATTACAGAATGCTGCTTAGAGGAGGTTGTCTGTCACTGCAAGTTCTCACTGTCTGTCTGCCTGTAGCTCTGAATTTTTTCTACTCTTCAATTTAACATCACTGCTTTCTCCACACATATGTCTAACCATAGACCCCTGCAACCTGTTCTACTTTGGACACCTGTCAACATCATGCATTTTAACAGCGCACTGCTCATCATACTCATAATTGCATAATTACTGTTGCACAGGGAAGAGTGTTTAGTTTGAAATGCATCCTTGAGGCATTGTGCTAGACTCAGTTCTCAACTATAAGGAAACACAAACTCAGAGTAACTCCACTTAATATGGCTGGTTATGCAAACTATTTACATCAGCATCGACACAGTAATTGGTTGGTTGTATAGAATCAAAGAAAAACGCTCGAAAGACATTTACACATAATTTCTGCAGCTGATTGGCATTCTTCCCTAATTATTTTATTCATGTCAATGTTATTCCAATATATGAGAGCCTGTGGACATGTCTATAGCTCCAAAGGTAATATGAAAACCAAGGCCAAGACCTCTAGAACACTTTAGAGTCACTGGGAGTGTCCTGTGTGCATCTCAGTGTCAAAACAGCGTATTGATCTTATAAATTATGTAATTCCCCTGCAGTTTTTCTGTTCGGACTGTTTTCCAGTCTGCCTTCTGACAGTCATTGCAAAATAATAACATCAAATCTACACAGCATCTCTTATTGTAGGCTGAAGTCAAGACTATATTCCATTCTATTGTAAAAAAATATTGGAAATCTGAAACAGACACCAATATCCCAGCCCCTACTCTCAAGCTTTTTCCTGTCTTCACACAGTTGTTTTTCAGCATGTTCTTTAATCAACTCAGAATTTCCTTATGCTGCAGTAGTATCATAAATTTTTTTTCTGGGCCTATCACCACCAGCAAATAGATGAAACAACTGCCTACTCTGTCAGACCTTGCATCTAGGTAGCATATTTCTGTTTATTTGATTTCTATGAGATTTATTTTAACTATTATTTTGAGTAAATCTCATTAACAGGCTGTTCCTACAGATATGTAGCTTGCATGTCTGCTAGCTGCACCATAACCTGGATAGCTTCCCAGTAGCTTCCCACTATGCTTTTAGTGTTATTCAGTTGCGTAGTATCAAGAATGCCCATACTTTCACAGAGGACATGCTTTAAGTCCCCTTTCAGCCCCACTATACAGAATCAACCTACTTCAGAAAAGGATGAATAAAAATATTCATCCTCACATAAACAGCACAATTACATAGATGCCATGTGGAGAAAGCACTTTTGCTGTCACTATGAACACAAGAAAACACAGATATTCATCCTTCTGAAACCCAGCCAAATTGTGACATTTGTGGCATCTAATTCACATTGAGATTATTACTATCAAAAGCATTTTAAGTAATCTGCTATGTATAGCAGAAGAAACTGCATTACACAAAGGTGTGTAAATGAGTGTTTCACGTAATGATGTTCTACAGATAACAAGCATAACCTGGAAGTGTTCTGTTTGTCAGCAGATCTTCCTCTGCTGTACGGATATAAATGAAAGCATAGTAAGAAAAACCTTTATATAAAGAGGTTTAACAGCTTCTGATGGCTTGAATTCTTGCAAGAGTGCATTTTTATAATCCATTTTAATTTTTTATACTTTTTGCTAACTGTATACACTTTCTTTCCCTTTTAAAAAACTCAAATATGAAGAGATGGAAAAATTCACTGGACAAAATTATTTCAGTTCCAAAAGAAATTCCCAAAACAGCAAACATCTGCCTCTAAGTCCATGGAAACTGTAGAATTCTGATGCAACATGTAAAAGCATTAAAGCTGTGTTTGCTGCTTAAACTAACATATCCAGTAGGTAAGCTCTTTAGTACAACTGTCAGCTTCTAGTAAAACAACCAACTTATGCTTCATGGCATATATTCAATTTCTTTATCCTTGTCATAGGGTGTTTTGCAGTGTTATTGGTGATGCCTTTCTTTTAACTGTGCCAAATCTTTAAGGTGAAAAAGGGAAAAAATCCACTGTTTGGAACGATCATTTGGTGGTTAGCAATTGGCTGCCTTTCTCCTTCTTGGCCTGCTCACACTTTAGCTGTACAGAATCTGATTATTCAGGCAGGCTGAAAAGTTAAGTTATACATAATTTATTCTGTATGACTACAAGAACCCCAAAGAAGAGACTACACAGAAACCATATTGTCCTAGGTTACAGTGTAAAAAGTAGGGCCCCCCCCCCCCAAAAAAAAAAAAAAAAA